GGTCTCCTGTGGAGCATCCCTATTCCCAATTCCACTATCCCCATACCTCACCTGTAACAAACACCAACACCTCCCCCACCATACTCCTCATCCCCAATATTCCCCATGCCTCACCTACAGCAGACACCAACACGTCTCCACCGGCTCAGCCCCGTCCACCTCAACTTCCCCTTATATACCTGACACGAGGCTCTTCCCACCAGGCCACACCCCCTGCCTCAGCCAATCCCCTCCTGTCCCGCTCCCACAGGGGTTGGGGCTTCCCAGTATCCCCAGCGAGCCCCAGTGCAGTCACGCGTGTGCACAGGAGTGTGTGTGCACTTGCACATCTGTGTACACACGTGCGTCTCTCCCTGCATGCACACGTATGTGCAGCCAGGTACATCACTGCACACATTTGTGCACCCCTCTATGTCTGTGCACAAACATGTCCATCCCATGTGTGCCCATGCACTTTTCTGCCCCTCCATGTGCGTGTGTGCCCTTGCCAGTTTGCACACACATATGTGCACATGCATGTGCACCCACACACATCTTTGCAGTCATAGTGTGTGCACACATATGTCCACAGGCTGTGCATCCCTGTACCTCTGTACACACATATGTGCACCCATGCACATCTGTACACATGTGCATGCATCCCTATGTGCCCAAGTGTGTGTGTGTGCGCCCATGCATGTCTGTGGCCCTCCATGTGCACATTTGTGTGTGTGGACCCATGAACATCTGTACACACACACGTGCATCTTTTCCTGCATACATATGCATGTGCAGCCGTGCACATCACTGCATACACATGTGCATCTCTGCATGTGTGCCCAGGTGTATGTACACTCATGTACACCTGTGCACACACATGCGCATGTCTCCCAGTGTGCACAAGCATGTGCAGCCATGCATATCACTGCATGCATGTGGGCACCTCTGTGCAGGTCTATGTGCACATGTGTGTGCACCCATGCACATCTGTGCACACACATGCACGTCTCCCTGTGTGCACAGGTACATGTACATGCATGTACATCTGAGCACACAGACGTGGATCTCTCCCTGCATGCACACCACTGCACGCATGTACACGTACAGGTCTGTGTGTACACGTGCGTACACCCATGCATATCTGTGCACATACACCTGCATCTCTCCCTGTGTGCACATGTATATATGCAGCCATACAAATCACAGCACACACGTGTGCACCCATGCGCATCTGTGCCTCTCCACGTGCTCATGTGCACCTGTGCACATATGTGTGCCCCTCCCCATGTGCACGGGTACATGTACAGCCACGCACATCTGAGCACACACGTGCATCTCTCCCTGCATGCACACGTATGTACACCCGTACAGAACACTGCACCCATACACCTCTCTGCCCCTCCACGTGCCTGTGCGCTCCCACGACCATTCCCACACGCACCTGTGCCCATGTATACACACACA